AGAGAGGCAATTAGCACTGTGATTTGGAGTGTAACTGAGTATGTTCCTCAGAACTATAGCTTACTGGTATGTGACCATTACCAGGTAATTTGATGGCTCCCAGGCATACTTTACCCACTTTCCAGGGATGATGTGGTGATATAGTGAGATGATAATACAAAGCACTTAGGGGGTACCAGTTTCTCCTTTATGGCCAGAAGCAGAAGTCTCCATGAAACATTTTGATATTGTTTTTTTTTTTTTTTTTTTAAAGATTTATTTATTTATTTGTACAGAACTGGGGTACAGGCCAGAGATGCGGAGGGTGAGAGAATTCACCAGAGACAGAGCGGGGAGCAGAACAGGCAGATCGACGAAGTACACTGCTGAGGGGAGCAGCGGGCGGGCCAGGAGAGGTCTGCCACGCCATGTGGTCGCCTCCGGGGCAGGCGGGAATTGAACTCATGAGGAAGTGGCTTTAGATTCTCAGTGCTGTGCTTTAACCCGCTGCGCCACCAGGGAGGGCCGGTATTGTTCTTTTTTAAAAGAGAATATTTTTATTACAATGACATGTACTTCTAGTGTGAAAGTTTTTCTGCTTACATTACCTTTATTGAGGTGTTTTGTTTACTGTGACATTACAGCAATTATAATTGGGTTATCTGAAATACTAGTACTATGTAAATTTCATATATTACCGTATTTTTTTGGTATTTTTAATATAATAGTTTATTTTTACATCACTTTGTGCATTTTTTTCATCTCAGTTGTAATCCACATGGGCTTCCCATCACCAAATCACCCATATTACTGTAATTTTTAAAAAAACACAATAGTGGATTTTTAAAAACAAGAATAATAATAAAATGCATTATGAGGTATATAACATGTAATAGTAAACTGTGGGACAGTAATAGCCTAAAGGATCGGATGAGAAATGAAAGAATTCTTTTGTATGACTGTCATAAATTAATATATCAATAATTCATTAAATATCAACAACCCTACCAAAAATGGGTATAGAAAAGCACATATTGTAATATTCCAGCTATGTGAAATCCTCAAAATAGGCAAAATTAATAACTCCTGAGGCCAAGAGTGTTTAGACACAAAGAATGCAGTATGCAAATTTTAGGGTATTTTAGGATATTCTGTATCTTGATTTCAGCAGTATTTACATGAGTATGTTCATTAAATGGGTGCATTTTCTTGTATTTAAGTTATGCTTCAATAAAGTCTTTAATTTTTTTTGAATCTTAAAAGACAATGCAGAGATTTGTACCCAAGCAGCCTAGATACAAGCACTATTTTCTTATGGATTTACTAGAGAGCTCTTTTCATCTATCCTGAAAGATTTGGTCATTCACTCAACACAACATTCCAATATTTGATACTTTGACTTAAAAAAAAAAGGTGCTCAACCTTTAGGCTGAAATATTCTTAGATAAAGATTTTAAATGCCTAGAAATTAATTTATCAACTAGTACACCAAAGACCTGTATGATGACCTCAGTGATAAACACAATGGAAAAAGATAAGTGAAGAGATTTATATCATCTTCCTAGATGAGAAGTTAATGTTTAGAGAAAGAATTATAACCAATTTAACATATAGGGAGTCAAATACCAATGAAAGTTTTGAGAAGGACAGCAAGATGCTTTGAAAACTGATTTGAAAGTTCATATGAAAAAAATGGAGGATAGTCAAAAGTTTTGAAAAAAACAAATGAGGCCTCTTACCTACCATACAGCAACCCACCTTATAAAACTTAGCAATTAAAGCATTGGTAGGAGTAAAATGATAGACAAATATAAATTTGTCCTGAAACAAATATATACCTATAAAATTTATCATATAATGTTATGTTATAATCAGATAAGCTACAAAGGAAGAGATTGCTTAATAAATGGTGTCAAAACAAATGAACACTCATTTATTAAAAAATAATTTTAAATGTTTCATTATACATGAAAATAAATTCACATGATTAAAAATTTAAACAACAAAAAAAGTACAAAGGTACTAAAAGGTACCTTTTTATAAAAAGGTAACAGGAAATCCAAAAGTCATTTATTTAGAGAAAGACTGAAAGATATGCCTACATTTAAATATAAAATTTGAGCATGAAAAATAATTCTATTTTAATAAAACCGCCACAAAGAACAAATTGAAATCCTATAAAAAACAAAATTTACACACTTAATACATAAAAAGATCTTATAAGTGAAATCACCACTCTGTAGCTTTATTGGAAATAAGCACCTAAAATATAAATATCATTTTATTTTGCAATTTCACTTCTAAGATGTATCTATCAGAATATCTGTATCTATCTCTCTATACACACACACACACACACATATATACACACACACATATATACACACACACATATATACACACACACTATGTGTGTGTACATATAAATATATGGAGAAAATACACACACACACACACACACACACACATATATATAGGGCAAACATTTTTTATCTCAAAGACTTTATTTCAAGAATCTGTGTTATATGGAAAAGAAATCTGAAGTTTACATGAATGGAGGGTTAAATTATTAAGTTATGACACTAATGCTGAGAGTATCCTACTGTTACTAAAAATATATGAAGACCACAGTGGCCCTGATATATGTTATTATATCTCTTTAAATATTGCGACACTATTATTTAAAAAAAAAACTGTATAGGCCCTCCCTGGTGGTGCAGCGGGTTAAAGCACAGCACTAAGAAGCTAAAGCCACTTCCTCATGAGTTCGATCCCCGCCTGCCCCGGAGGTGACCACATGGCGTGGCAGACCTCTCCTGACCTGTCCGCTGCTCCCCTCAGCAGTGTATTTCATCTCTCTGCCTGTTCTGCTCCCTACTCTGTCTCTGATGAAGCCTCTCACCGCCCCTGAGCCTCTGGCCTGTACCCCAGTTCTGTATACACAAATAAATAAATCTTTAAAAAAAAAACAAACTGTATATCTGATGTGATGTTCAAAATCATATACAGTGTTGAATTTCAATGTCAGTTACCACAATTTAAAAAATACAATTAAAATCTATACAGTAGAAGCTTCTTAACTGATTTAATCAGGACCTACTTGTTGGTTAATTGAAAAATAGGTTAGAACAGGGAAAGATATTTTAAATATTTCATTTTAATTTGAAAAATATGTACACTGGGTCTGCAGCCTTTGGATATAAGGCCAAGGACTTTTCTTTAATTATGAGTCCACCTGTCCTGTCTGATTAAAGCATACCCCTAAAATTGTTTCAGATTGCCAGTTTCAGTTTCTTTAAAGTGAACACTCAAAAACATTTGCAAAGCAAACCAGGTGCACACTATCTAGATTTATGTTTTTCCTCAACCTTTTACCATTGTCTTATACCCACTCCTAACTGACTGCAGCTTTTCTTAACATGTAGCCCTTAGCAAATCTTTCCAAAGCACAGGATTTAGTTTAAAAAGGTACAATAGTTGATAATCCCCTGTCACACTCACATCTTGTTTTTGTATTTCATTAAACTGCAAAACTACTATAACAAGTAGAACTAGAATAAAAGCTTTAGAAACAAACACGATGAGCTCTTGATAAAAACTAAAATCATCTCTAAATGTAAATTAACACTCAGTTTTCTTAATCTCTCATGAATTTTTAACATTACTCAATGTAGCTAAGTATCACTGATTGTATCATTTGATGTCATCAAGTCCCTAGACCTGTGCTGTCCAGTACAGGCCACACGTGGCCATAGAGTCCCGAAAAAGAGGCTAACCTGGATTGAGATATGCTGGAAATATAAAATATCCATCAGATTTTAAAGGCTTCCTATGACAAAGAGAATGTAAAATATATTATTTTTATATTAGTTACAAGTTGAAATGACATTTTAGAAATAATGGAAGTATATTATTAAAATTAATTTTACTTGTTTTTTTTTAATGTGGCTAATAAGGAAATTTAGATTACAAGTGTTTTCTCAGTGTTTTAGACCTACAAACATCCTCTGCTCACTGGTGGTAATACCTCTGAAGTTCTACTCGAAAAAAATCATTCAGACTCTGCCTTTTCTTTTTCTGTTACCTCAATTAAAGGGATTTTGAAGTAGTATTTCATGAGAAATCTCTCTTAAACAGACTTGCCGATGGGCCAAATTTGATCTGTTGCCTATTATAATAGGCCTGTGAACTAGGAATGGTTTTTGTTGTTGCTTTATTGTTGTAAAGCAACAACAATATTTTTTGTCTGGCAAAAAAAAAAAGATTAATATTCTGAGAAAAAATATATGGAATCTGAATTTTGCAGTTAATAAGTAAAGTTTTATGGGCTCATAACCATTCTCACTTTATACATTACCTGTGGCCACTTTATGTTTATTACTTTATGTTACAAAGGCATATGTCAGCTGCAATAGAGATTGTATTGCTGCAAAGTCTATAAATTTCCTATCCCCCTTTTTTTTAAAACAAAAAATTGTGCTGATCCTTGCTCTCTATCATCCCTTATGGCTCAAGTTGCCAATTTCATCTTTGAAGCTAATGAAATAATGAGAAGAGAAAGCTGTATTTCCATTTTAATCTCAAGCACAGACTAGATTTCCAGCCCTAGATTTCTCAGTAACTTCCTTCTGTCGTTATTGCTTGTGACTGAAAGTTATCTAGACCCCCAGCTTTTGAGACAGTTTCTTCTGGAATAGTTTATCTGTTTGTTCACTTTTGCCTCTGATATCTGTGCTTCTTTAATTTCAAATTACAATGCGGTTCTGTTTTTCTGAGGCCAGGTTTACCCAGATGGCATTACAAATCCTCAGAGATCTGTGGCACAAAATGGTTAGCATGTCACCTTTGATAGTCACCATCACACCATCACCATCACTAGCTGTGATACCTACTCTGTCTTTGAGGACTTGGGACTCACTGCTTTTTTGGTGTCGGCCTATAGGTAACATTCTCAGGTTGTTTGTAAGCCCTCTACTCATTTGTAGGCCTGCTCCTCAATACATGGTTTCTCAGGTGCCTACCTCAGTCGACCCTGTGAATGCAATCTTGTCTATGCCAATATGAGAAGCAATCGCTGCCCCAGCCGTTGGCCCGTATCCTGGCAAAATATTGATGACTCCCGGTGGAAAGCCAGCCTAACAAAACAGAATGGGAGGGAACATGGTTTGTGAAAACTGAAGAAGCAAGATAAATGGGATACGTTCCAGTAGGCCCTGAACTGTAAAGGGAGTTCGAGCCACTCCTGAAAGCAGTTACTCTTACCTCCTTGATGAGGGCTCCCATGTAGAGCGCGCTGAGCGGTGTTTGTTCTGCTGGTTTAATAACTACTGTATTGCCACAGCATAGAGCTGGAGCAATTTTCCAGGCAAACATCAGCAGGGGGAAGTTCCACTGAAAGAAAAAACTCAAAGGTTGATAAATGGAAAAATATTCCTCTACTACTTTGTTTTCAAGCTGTGACTTCTCAGATTTCTCAGACTAGTCCTCAACATAAATCTTGTCCACCACAAAGTATAGATGTTTGGATTTTTTAATTACTTCGTTAAGACTTGAATAGGACTGACCTTGGAAATTTTGCCTTTTCTCTCTGTTCAGCAAATTATAGTATTTCAACTACACACCAAAGGAAATCTCATGGTGAAAAGTGGGTCTTTGTTTTTTTATTTTTCAATGTTGTTATTATATGTGTTTTTAAGAGCAGACTTTGATTCCAGCAAAATCTGTGTGTGAAAATTTCTTCCTGCATTTGGGAATTTTACACCAAGATTTCCATTCTGATATAAAAGTTCTACATTGTGGTAGAACTAGAGGAGAAAATCCAGCTGAAAATTACATTTAAGTCCATGGGCGTTTCAAGGTAGCACCTTTTCTTTACATATATGTATCATTACAAAATATACATGATTACAACAAGTAAAATGTATTACTGATGAGTAAAGTTTTAATTTGTCTTCTTTCCCTGCAAAATAACCTGATGGAGATTAAGTTAGATTTGTGTCTACATTTAGGGCCTAAAATGGTTTAAACTGATTTTTAAAGGATATTAAGATTGCACTGTCATAAGCAGAAGGATAAACCTCAGTGCTATCAGGTGTCGCTGATAATTTCATTAAGAGAGAAAACAGAAATTCTGGCCCTCTGGCTTCAGACCCTGACCGCAATGAGTTTCGGCCTGAAGCATCTCAGCTGCCATCCTTGAAAGATTCCCACTGGTCCTGGCAAGCTTGCAAAAATATACAAGTGTCTTGCCTTCACCAAACACCCAATTTCTTTTCCCCTTAGTTGTTTATAAACTTGGGAGTCCACAGTGATGTTTTAATTCCATCTACAGTATATAAATCTTGGAGTGCAGTAATTGAGCCGGAGCCGGATGACAAGCAACTCTTGTCCTGTCAGTGAAAGCTGCAGCTGTCAGTATGAGAAGGGCAAGAAGAAGAGGTTTGAGTTCCTGCAATTAATGTGACAGACTTCACCCCTGTTCTGATCCAACTGGGATTTCCCTGGGTGGCTAGGGGAGAAAGAACTTAATCTAAGCCTCTCATTTTCTGTTTTCATCCTCTAATAAATTTCACAGTAACTTAGAGCTTATAGATCATTTAAAAAATATTAACGCCATCAAAAAATATTTGTCCCCTAAAGCCCAAGATCATCTTTAATTATTCTCCTACATGAGAAGAAAAGGCTTCTTGTCTCTACTGTAAGAGTTTAATCTGAGCCTCCCCTGAAATCCTTGCCTGAACGATTAGCTTTTACTGTTAGAAGATTCGATGATATTTTGTATCGTGCCAAGGCTGTGTATGAGAGAAAAAAAAATGTTTAATGTTCCAATCCAAACACTAAGCACTACATCTATTTCCCTTTACAAGACACACAACAGCCCGGCATGGTTTCAATTATGACCGTGACGTTAATTGTACTGCTGTGTCTTCTGTAGTCTTCTATCTAGATTCTTATGAAAAGAAACAGTGGGAAAGAATAGGATTAAAAGACTATATAAAACAATATGCCTGGAAAGATGGTGAGTCACAGTTCCAAAAAATAAACAAGCAAATATAACAAAACATTAATTTTCCATAAGCAGAATAGACATTCATAACCAAGGGCAGGTTATTAATACAGTGGGCTTGGCTTTGCTTATTTAGATCATGAGAATTCCATGACTTGAGAACTCAACTCCTGGTAACGGAGCTGAAACCCTATTAACCTGTTCAAATAAGCATTTGCAGGGAGACTGTTAAAGATATGTCAACAACATGAGCTCAGTTTTTTTCCCCCTCAGTAATGGAAAACACACATCACTGAGGACCATGTTTTATGTATCTTTAAGAGAACTGGTTCAAATGAAAATAAATCAGAGGTTCGAGGAGATATACTCACTGGGATGATCTGTCCACACACTCCAATGGGCTCGTGTCTTGTAAAGGTAAAATAGTCTCCATCTGAAAGAAATGAGTATGGTCACCCAAAAGCTTCAGATTAAAAGGAAAAAAAAAAAAAGCAGAGAACTCTAATAACAGTAAAACGCAGAAATGAAGTTGAAAAAAATAGCCTACCCAATCAACTGTGCATGGATGCTAGTAAAAGCAATCACTTGGCATGAGGCATCTCCAGATAAAGTTCCTAGACACCCCAAAAGAGCACTGACCAGAAGACCAAAAGGCAAAGTGGGCAACTTGTTTATGACAAGGGAAAAGTTCTTTCGAGTTATGGTGCAGAGGAGGAGAGGAAGGGAAACTGGAAAATGTTTAATATTAAACATTAATTACTCACATGATACTTTATAAAGATCAGTTATTTGACTAAAAAATCTGAGTTACAAAAAATTTAAGTAACTTGCTAAGATATTAAAACTAAAATGTTATTGGGTAAATTATAAATAGTAGGCAACTGGAAAAAGTGAGTAATAAAATAAGGTCTACTTCATGATTCAATGCAGATGTCAAAATGTACTCCCTGAGCACTAGCACTGTTTCAAGAAGGCAAAAGTCCACCTCAGAGCAGGTTCCACAACAACCCAAAGCCTCTGCCCTCGAACTAGTCAGTTCTGAAAAGAGGATGCTTTATAGGAGCAATAAACATTGGAACAATTACTCAAGAGGCCCAAACCAAATTCTTCTTGAGAAAAATGCCATTAAGTTTATCTTAAATGGCTAATTGAAATAACCAAAGAATGGCTCATTTTCACATATAACTTGTAATTTCTGGTATTGGGCTATCTTTGGATTTCCCTCAATGGACAACTGTTGGGTCACTCCACTGATAACTTGTTTTCTCTCTCAGAAGCATCCCCCAACAGAAAGTAAAGACCCACAATTAATATTCATGAAGAACATTACTGACAGGGACAGGTGATAAGGTGGGGACTGGAGGACTGTGCCAGTTGGTGGAAGAGAAGTGATGCAATTGTTTATTCTTCTCTTGACATACCTGGATCACTAATATTTATCACACAAAATCATTTAAATTCAAAATTATACATCTAAAAATAATTGAAGGTCTCTCTCTCTTCTAGACATCTGTTCTCTAGTTCCTTTTTCATAATGAACAGTTAGCTGTTGCTGAAGCATCTTTTCAAAGAAGTTCTTCTCACACTTAAGTACAGTAACATCCTTTTACCAACTCTCCCTTTAAATACAACTGAGACGCTATTCACACACTGTATTTTAGAGCTTTCTTACATTTTCATATAAGGTAACAGTTTTTTTAATAGTTGCCTATTATTCTACTCAAATAATGGTGCCACTGTAAGCTGTCCTGTGCCACCCAGAGATCGCTTTAGGTTTAGGCTATTAAAAGTAATGCTTTATAGGCTATTATGTACTATACATATCTAGGGAATTCTTGGTCAAAGTGCATTGATAAGTATGCCAAGTCACCTTTCAAAGAAGTGACATAATTCATAATTCTGTATTTTCCTACTTAGGTTTCTCAAACTTTTTGATTTCAGTCAACTTGATAGGTAAAAATGATTTGTTTAATTGTTTAAAAATGTGTTTAATGATTCGGGGTTATCAGAAAAGTCATGATGTGTTTTTCCATGCAAAAATGGGTCATGACTTTTCCAACAACTCAATATATTGAGAGTATCATTTATGCTTACTTACCATTTTTTCTATAGTCATATATTTCACCATTTCCTTTTTTTAAAAAAAATTATTTATTTGTGCATACAGAACTAGGGTACAGGCCAGAAGTGCAGGGGCGTTGAGAGGATTCACCAGAGACAGAGTCGGGAGCAGAACAGGCTGACTGACAAAGTACACTGCTGAGGGGAGCAGCAGGCAGGTCAGGAGAGGTCTGCTGAGCCATGTGGGTCACCTCCAGGGCAGGCGGGGATCGAACTCATGAAGTGGCTGCTTTAGCTTCTTAGTGCTGTGCTTTAACCCGCTGCATCACCAGTGAGGGCCCACCATTTCTCTTTTTTAATCATTTAAATAGCTCTATACATTCATACATTTTTCACTAATTTGCTATTTGTCTCCTAACTCTGTTTTATGTATATTACTTAAAGTGAAATTCATTAGAATGAAGGCAGAGTTCAGCAATTATACAAACAAAATTATTTCTGTGTATGTCATCATCAGAGCAACAAAAATAACCTAAATGTGGAAACTGTCTATATAATAATAAGTCTGAGTAATATTTTCAAAATCAAGTGCCGACAACTCAGGCGCCTTCATATTTCTTACAATAGTACAAGTTACCACCACTGTTCTTCAATTTATAAATCTTCAGAAAGGCTGTTGTTTAGTTTTTAAATACATACCTTTCAATGTTTACATTGCTGTCTTTCAGAAGATATGAGTGTGGTAGTGTCACACTCTTCTTCCGGGCAAGATTTTTCACAAGAAGTAATAGCCCTGACAGGTAGTCTATAGAGTTTCATATGCAAAGAAACCCTCTCCAAATAAACTGTACAATTTGGCTGTGATGGAATCAGACCACAGAGTAGAGTGTACTGTAATGTCAAAATGGAGTGCACAGGTGAGGGGAAACAATGGGGAAGGTGAATTGAAGAAGAACATAGGTGTTTACTTTAGTAACACATCTGGGAAACTGGAATGATTCAAAGAAATTTCACAAGACACCTGCATAAGCACAGCATAGTAATTCACAGAGTATTGCCCCCATTTGAAATGCTTAAGAATTTAGCTGTATTACTTACATAATTTTGAAAGTTACTGAAAAAACGAGAGAAGAAAAATAAGGCATTTCAAAATCTTAAAAAAGTTGACCGTGCGAGGAATTGAACCCTAATTGTGTCCCAAGAGAAAGTGAGTTATGGGGAATGAAAACATTTTTGGATAAACTGTTCAGAGAATTGACATTTAGCTAAAGACTGACGTAAAGAAAAAGATTGAGAAATCTTCTGTCCCTGCAGTTCTTCTAAGAATTAAATAAGAAAATGAAGGTTACTCTGGGGCTTTAACTCTTCCCAAAAGAATACTAAATGAAAAACAGCTAAAGGAAGGGTGCAGCTGAGGTCCCATTCACTATCCTACTTGCTTCCTAGAGCAGTCTAAGTATTCCCAGTGTTCCCATCTGGCTAGTAGAAGTTGTCTCTGCATATCCTCAGTCAGACCTGAGATGCCGTGCAAACGCTCAAGAAAGTAAAAATAATATACAGCTACTGCTTTTTATTTTATTTATTTTTTTAAAAATTTATTTATTTATTCATATAGAACTGGGGTACAAGCCAGAGGTGCAGGGGCAGTGAAAGGCTTCACCAGAGACAAAGTGGGGAGCAGAACAGGCAGATTGATGGAGTGCACTGCTGAGGGGAGCAGGGTGGGTCAGGAGAGGTCTGCCGCCACGTGGATCACCTCCGGGGCCGGGGAGAGAACTCGATCAAACTCACACTGAAGTGGCTGCGCCCAGCTTGCAGTGCTGTGTCCTAACCTGTTGCACCACCAGGGAGGGCCCATATTTATTTATTTATTCTAAAGTATTTTATTTGTTTATGCATATAAGAGCTGGGGTGTAGGCCAGAGGTGTGGGGGGAGGGGAAGTGAAAGGCTTCACCAGAGACAGAGTGGGGAGCAGAACAGGCAGATGTACTGAAATACACTGCTGAGGGGAGTAGTAGGGGAAACTGGAGAGGTCTTCTGAGCCATGTGGGTCAGCTCCCTGGCCTGTGGCTGCCAATAGCTTGACAGTGCTGAAATTTAACCCCTGTGCCACCAGAGAAGCCCACCTATTGCTTTTTAAATAAATGTATTTAAGATATAGTCAGAGACAACCTTTCTGATGTTTATAAACAAGAGTTTATAATTCATAAAGAACATAAAAATCTTAGTTAAATACCTTACCATACCTTACCATATGTAATTAAATACCTTACCATATTTGAGCATATGATCAAATGTTACTGAATATGTGTAAATTCATCTTCCAGCCCTCCCTGGTGGCGCAGCGGGTTAAAGCACAGCACTGAGAATGTAAAGCCGCTTCCGCATGAGTTCCATTCCTGCCTGCCCCAGAGGTGACCACATGGCGAGGCAGACCTCTCCTGACCTGCCCACTGCTCCCCTCAGCAGTGTACTTTGTCTATCTGCCTGTTCTGTTCCCCATTCTGTCTCTGGTGAAGCCTCTCGCCGCCCCTGAGCCTCTGGACTGTACCCCAGTTCTATATACACAAATAAATAAATCTTTAAAAAAAATTCATCTTGTAATCTCTAATCTAGATTAATTTCTACAATTATATTTTTAAAAGCATTTGCCCCTAGAGATGAATAACGAAATAAGCCTCTCTTGTTCCATGAAATGTACGCCATGGGCCTTCCCTGGTGGCGCAGCAGGTTAAAGCACAGCTCTCCAAAGCTAAAGTCACTTCAGCATGAGTTCAATTCCTGGCCAGGGTCTTTGGTGAATCCTCTTACTGGCCCTGCACTTCTGGCCTATACTCCAGTTCTATTTGCATAAAAAAACCTTTAAAAAAAAAAAAAAAGAAATGTTCAGTCACTATTATATTTTCTTTGATGGGGGCTTGTCAAATGACATAAGTTAGATAGCAATTATTTAGCTAATTAAAATAATTTAATTATTTGCATACTTCCTCCAGGGAAAACATTACATATTAAAGTGGATTTCACAACTGCATGAAAAACATTTTGACATAATTTTTATTCTCATAATACTATCTGAGATTAGTACAGTCTATATATAACCTAGATAATGATTATGCAATGTACAGTTAATAATAACAGAAAAATCTTAAATGTGCTAGAAATTGAGGAGAAATTTATCAATATGGGCCTGAAGAAATAGTCCCCAGTTATATATAATACTAGGAGTATTCAAGAACTGTAGCCAATTGCATATACCTACTAACTACAGAAATTACTCTATTTAATACCATAAAAATCTGCAACACAATTCAAACAAAGGAAGTTCACCTTCCAATCTCTAATATGTATACAGAATTACCATTGGAGGAGCT